GCTTGCTCAAACTCGAGTTGGTTACACTGCTACTTGGAAAACTGTCAATTTTAGCCCAACTAAGAAAAACTTTTAGTTCCCAGTTTATAATAGATAATTCTTTTCTAAAGAGAAAATTCATGGTTCGATCTTAGTTAATACTTGATGTTTCCGTCCTCAAGTACAAGAAAAACTTATTACATTCTTTTTAACATTATCAAGATTATATGCTAGAAAGCAATCAATGTGTACATGAGTAAGATTCTACTTCTAGATTCTAGGATGGGAGAAGAGCGAACATAAAGTGAAGATTCTAAACTCAGTTATTGGGACTATATATCAGAAGGGAACTTTGATGGGAAACATAAGAGAGAGATCGAGAGAAGATAAATAAATAACAAAATGGAAACTGATTTGTCTGCATCAAGCATCGTGACGCACTATCTCTCTTATTATAAAAACAATTGATTAGGTTTCATCTTCATCAAATATTATAACCCAGTTTCTCATCTACGAAAAATTATTGTGTCCAATTGTCCGCACATCAGACGACCAACCACTGGGAGATTCCTTGGCATGGTCGGGCACCACTTTAGCATGTATGCTGAGGTGTCGCCAAGTCATCGGACATCCACACATGCAGACGACGAACGCAATAGTTTCTCATCTCCTACATCAAAAGTTATGATGCTCTGATAGGCTTGCTCAAACTCGAGTTGGTTACACTGCTACTTAGAAAACTGTGAATTTTAGCCCAACTAAGAAAAATTTTTAGTTCCCAGTTTATAATACAAAATTCTTTTCTAGAGAGAAAATTCATGATTCGACCTTAGTTAAAACTTGATGTTTTCGTCCTCAAGTACAGGTGAAACTTCATACATTCTTTTTAACATTATCAAGATTATAAGCTAGAATGCAATTAATGTGAGCATGAGTAGGATTCTACTTCTAGATTCTAGGATGGGAGAAGAGCAAACATAAAGTGACAGATTCTAAACTCAGTTTTTGGGACTATATATCGGAAGGAAACTCCGATGGGAAACATAAGAGAGAGATCGAGAGAAGATAAATAAATAACAAAATGGAAACTGATCAAGCATTGTGACGCACTCTCTCTCTTATTATAAAAACAACTGGTTAGGTTTCATTTTCATCAAATATTATAACCCAGTTTCTCATCTACGAAAAATTATTGTGTCCAATTGTCTGCACGTGCGGACGACCAACCACCGGGAGATTCTTTGGCATGGTCGGGCACCACCTTAGCATGTATGCCGAGGTGTCGCCTAGCCGTCGGTCATCCACACATGCAAACGACGAACGCAATAATTTCTCATCTCCTACATCAAAAGTTATGATGCTCTTATTTTCTTATTATGATAATAATTGAAAGGGGGGAGGGAAAAGTTGAGATAAAAGAAGAGAGAAAATAGAAAATTGGAAGAAATGGAATGTGTCAGCTAAAACTCATTCTACGACTGGACTCTAAAACTAAAAATCATCTTCACTCCATCTCCATTTTAAAACCCCGTAGAGACACCCTTAATTAATGTACCAATCATTTGTGTTACTTTTCCTAAATTCTATAGATCATTGAAAAGATTATTACTAAACAATATGATTCATGTGTCATCAACAAATTTCATCCCTTGACATGAATCTCGAGGCATTTGGCATGGATCTCAAAGTATTTTTTTAGCAATAAATGTTCTACTTCAATAAAAAATCAGCAAACCAACTAGGCTAAATGAACCCAATGATACCAAAATTGATCCAATTTAAGTCAAATCAAGCCATGATTAAACCGTCAAACCACTTTCACATGTTTAGGGTGGTTAATTTGAGAGTCAAATAAACTCTAAATTCGGTTTGTTTATAGTCAAATTGAATGCTTGTGAGAGGAATCCAATGAGCCTAAGATATACTCATTCTGAGATAACTAAGGCTCTCAAATCATAAAAAAAATCGACTATGATCAAGAAGAGTCGACATGGGTCGTTCAATTGGGTGGTAATAGTTATTGGCAGAAGAACAAAAAATCTCTCTTATAAATAGACCATCTCTCGTTGCTTGGAATAAAAAAAGGGAGAGTGTCTATTTTTGGTGATGTTCTGAATTCAAGAACTGATGATAACTCTCGACACCCTATAATCATAAACAATCGTTGTCCACCGCTCTCCGACTGACATCGACCATCGTCAACCGTTCCATCCTCATCACCATTAGTAGACTCTGCAGAGTAATAAAGTATCTTGAGAAGTAACAACACACATTCCAGAGTAATAAAGTACCCTATGTGCACATTGCGGTGTAACGAAGTACTCTATCAAGTGAAGAAATATATTACATACAATGTAACTCAGTACCCTAAATACTCTGCAATAACATACCCCAAACATTTTGTATCGAAAATTCGGTGATACCTTTTAGTAGCAACTGTTTGCAATTGGTGTATAGTGAAAATTTCAGTATATCATATATTGACATTGTACATGGAGAAACTTTGTAGCGCTTATGCCACAATTGTAATTATAAATATATAGTGGACCATTTTAACTAGGTCAGTCCTCATAGTTCTTTCCTTCTCTAGGTTTTTTAATGTAAACGTTTCTGTTGTTTTCTCTTATTTCTTTATTATATGTGAATATGTTGGTTTTTAAACAACACTAAGTCATTAAATGATTATTCTATCACCATAAATTTTATAGCACACAACAATTTAGCACTATCTGTGGGAACTAATCCCAGTTTATAATAGTCTACACTTTGTCAATGACTAATAAGCACAATATACGAACTTCAAGTTATAACACCCATAATTCTGGCGTACATTCTCGAGGTGTTAGACGTCAAGTATCAGGTCTATTTTCTAGCAATACACTTCACCGAACTGGTGAGGATGCCTCTTATTTATCCCCTGAGGACCTTATGCAGAGAATGAATGAATCTCAAAATAAGATTCTTTAGCTTCAACATGCAGCTCGACAACCAACAGTAGAGCAACGAGGCGAGGTTCATCTATCCCGAGATCAACCATCAATTGGAGATCCCCATACAGAGGGTGCTCCACCGACAACCCATCCTTATACTAACGTTCTTTCTCGGTCGAGACATGAAGCTAATTTCTTGAATATGCTAATTTCATGCATCCATCTCACGCTGCTAGACCAAATTGCAACCCTCCAATACTCTTGGAGAACTTAGCCCTCCTACCTTCTAGTCTTTTATGAATCTGAAAATTGAGGGTGTGATTCTCATGACATTGAAGATTTCTTGATCCTTTAGAAAATTCTAAGCGAAGTTTTGTCATCTAACATTATATTCACTTGCTGGACCTCAGTAGAAGGATCTAGTTATAAACTAAGACTTACAAATTCATCAACCTATTGGGAATACTTATAGTAAATATTGGCTATTTGACCCAAATCCTCACATTCAATTTGGCCCTCTAACGTTCTAATCTATTATTGAACTTATAAGGGAAGTTTCGAAATCCCTTGGAGAAAAGAAATTATTTAACCATCGCCATTGAAATTTATAATTTGTTGAATTGGGGGTTTACCTATATATGTGTATACTAGGATGCACCCACACAAACATAAGACACAATACATCACATATATGAGACATATATATTTTTTAATATATATATATATATATATAGATGTACATTAATCATCAAAATGGGGCTTTTACATAAGTTAGGGAAAGGGGATCCCCTTGAAGCAAAACAACTAAAAAAAGAGGGAATACAACTACAAAACGGTGTACCTAATTTCCAAGCAGCTTTAGCAATCCAATATGCAGTTTCATTTGCCTTCCTGAGAGTATGGACCCATTTGATTTGACAGCTTCTAGTAATAACCCAAGGCTGCCTGACTCTCTAAGAAGGCGTTGGAAAGCAGAAGCAAGCCGATGGCTCTCATGTGAGAGAAACTATATATATAAATGCCTACAAAGAATGAGGCAATCACTGATAATTGTCGCCATTAATTTCTTACAATCATCAAAATTTAACTGCCGATCTACCGCAGTAAAATTATGATTTTCTAAGTTTGCCTCTCTTCACAATGATACAGGTAGACCTGTCAAAAAAGTTGTTGTTCGCGAACAGTTTATGTTCGATTCGTCAATGAGTTCGTGTTCGATTTGTTCGTTAAGTAAACGAGAAGAACGTGAACAATTTTTTTTTCGTTCTGTTAGTTACACGAACAGTTCGTTCGTGTTTGAATCATTATTGTTCGAAATATAAAATAATTTAATATAATTATATATAAAAAATTTATGATATTTTAAAATTTTAAATTTTATAAATTGTAATATATAATAAATTAATAATAATAATAATATATTAATATAGTATATTATTAATATACTAATATAAATATTGTATATTTTTATAATATAAGTTATATAATTAATATAATATATTATTTATGTATATTAATATTAGCGATGTCAAGCCGGCTCGTCGTTCGCGAACAACTCGTGTTCGTCTCGTTTAGCGACTTCACGAACAATTTCAAACACGAGCTTATTTCCAACGAACAGAACATGAACACAAACCCTGTTCATTCATGTGCGGTTCGTTTACACCCCTATATACAGGCTTTAGTGCGATGTGATTTTCTCCACTCCAACACTGGGCATTTGGAGCTAGTGCGGTTTATCAAATAATTAATGGACAAATTTCACATTTATTTATTTCAAATTTATTTTTATATTCCAAGCAACACCTATTCATGAATAGGTTTGTGAACTCAAGAGGAATTTCATTCTATTTATCTTTTTAAAACCAAGATGTATTTGGCTTTCAATATTAATAATAGTTTTCGCAAAGCATTTAAATAAAAATTAGAGAGTCAAGGCGGCGATATAAGTTAAGTAGATAATTGATTTTTATTAATCTTATTTAAAATTACGTCAAAATATACCGCCCATTATCCATAAATTGTAGAGCTTAAAAAAGCAACATAAGTAACAGTAATACCATTGCATTGAATAAGAGATTTATTATAAGTGGAAGATCCGAAGCCGGATTTTATGCAATAATTTTTGCTGTTATAGTGTCATATATTTGTTAACAATCTGAAATTGAAAATAGAAAATTTTGGATGGAGTAATTCAGAAAAAAAATCGATACGCAAGAAACCACTGCCATCGCTCGGATTCAGAACCCCTCACGCAAAATGCGCAGCAAATCCTGGAACTGAGAATGTCTATTCAATCTGCCGCTGCCTTTCCCCTCCTCAAATCTATTTCCCCACTGCAGAGGCAAAATAAATAAATAAATAAATAAGAAAAACTTCAATGTTTTAAATTTAAATTATAAAAATTTACATATATGCCATAAAATTTTTATGTGTATACATTTGACACCTAAAATTGAATATTTATATTTATAAACCTTTGGTATCATGAACTTATAAAATTATACATGAAAATATATTTTTCATTTGGGAAATCTACATACCTAGCTTACAGTTTTTATGAATTTACATGTCTTATATATAGCATTTTGGCATTTTAACCCTGTGCACCCAAAGATGTATTTCAATTTTAAAAGGTGATAATAATATTATTTTTATGTGATATTAAAGAATGAGTAAAATGTGTGTAAAAATGAAAGTTTAGACATGAGATATATAAATACATTAGAATTCTATGTTATGTATGTAAATGAGCTTTTCATTTTTAAAGTAAAAAATAATGGATAATTTTGATGTAATATTAAAATTATAAATATTGATATGGCGCCAATAAATTTTCATTATCCTGCACGAATCTCGAAGCATGACACGGATCCAGAGACGATATTTTGAACAATAAACGTTCAAATCTTGATAAAAAGTCATCTAGAGCTCCGATTTCAACAAACTTATAGTCAAACTGACCGGCTCGTTGAAACGGACCTAATGATATAAAAATTACTCTAATCGGAGTCAAATCAAGCTCAGATCAAGTCATTAAATGAGTCAGTCATTAAACCATCATTGGAAAATTTTCAGACACATTTGAAAGGTCAAACAAATGTCTACACTAACAAGTTTATACTTGAATTGAGTGTCTTGACAAGACAAATCCAACGAGCCCAAGATCACTCAATTCCGACGTTGTTAAGACATTCAAATGTTCATTAAACACCGCATGATCAAGAGAAACTATTTGGACCGTCTGATAAAAATGGTTGATATTCCTACATTAATTACACCCAGAACACTATAAATAGACCACCACCCCTCATATGAGGGGAAGATGAAGTTTATAGAGAGCCTAAGGCCTTGAGGTGAAGCTGCAGCTCAACATCACCACCGACGACCGCCGCCGAGCTCCGTCGACCACCGCCGACCTCTGTCGTCGACCACCGACGACCGCCGCCGACCTCCGACAATCACTGTCGATTGTCGTCGACCTTCGCCAGCCTTCATTGACCACCACTACCCATCATCGATCACCACTAACCAGACTTCATCAGTTGACGCTGTAATTTGAAAAATGTAGTTACCCTTTCTCGTCCGTGGGACAAGAGATTTTTGTAATCATCAATTAATAGTGGATTTTTGCATGTAGGCCAGACCCTGTGGTTTTTCCCTTACGGGTTTTCCACGTAAAAACTTATGAAGTCATCACTGCTTGTTTTCTCTTTCATCTGTGTGTGCTGAACTTTCGTACAACGCTAAGATGATAGTCTGTTACTCTACTGCCACGAATTTTCTAGCACGCATCAAATATTATGCATCAAAATATGCTATATAAATATATAAGAATCATGTAGTATGTGTCCTTTAAATGGCTTTAATGTTAACTCAAAATGAAAACAATATTTATTTTCAAGCATTAACATATTTTTCACGATTTTTTTAAAATATTATTGTCTTATGAACATAGTTATTTATAGATTTACGGTGCTATTTATTTTATATATATATACAAAAAATATAAAGAATTTATAAGAATTAATAAGATTCGACTAAGGAGCCTCTTAAGAGGATTTCACTTGTGTTTGGACAAATAGGATTTTAGCGGATGTAGTCCAGCATGAGGTGCTGATGGACCCAACCAGAAAAATATGAAAGCTCACGGAGAAATAATGTACAAAATATTATAAATATCATAATGTTAAACTACATACTCGTTTGTATAATTTATTTGGTTGTGTACCGTCGTACACTCTATTTAGTTAGAATATACAGCAATTATATAATTATGTACACATAAAACTACATAGGAATCCACTAAAAGTGAAAGTGAGCTAAAAATACTCGTTGGCTTTGGCTCAGCTCGATAAGTTGCTCGTGAGCTGAGCTCGATGAGCTCACAAGCCAAGCTCAAGCCAACAACGAGACAACTCATTAACTTATGTCGGCTAGTTTAAAAAGTAATAGATAAATACCACTAATATAAAATACATTCAAAATAAATTAAAACTAAATTAAAACTAAAGACTAACAATTATTAAAAATATTTAATTTTTTTTAACAGTCCCATAAAATTGTCTACCTGACAGGCCTGCCGGTCACAGGCTGGATTTTGCGACCCATTTTCATTTGCCAATTTAGTGGAGCAAAATAACAATTTTAAATTACATTTTTACCCGAACTACAAGCACATATTCTCAAACAAATCCCAGGTGATGAATTTAATTTGCTTTGATTCTCTTTGCTCAGGTGACTCAATAGCTGGAGTACCAGGCGCTCAGCTAGATCGCTATTTCTGGCTTCATGTTAGATGAGGATATTTGGCTCCCACAGCTTTTTCTAAATCTTTAATTATTTTAAAATGAGAATGTTAAATTTAATGTAAAAATAACCTCCTTTTTTTTTTTTTACTTTTTTATGTCAAAACAACGACGTCAGTTCCTGAATTATAATATCATCATAACTCAGCAGCTTGAGATCACATCTTATTTTTATTTTTATTTATTATTTCATTTATATTTTCCTATAAGTTGATTAGTTATTTTAAAAAAAAACTCAAGATAATTTTTATATATTTTTAAAAACAATTTATTATTTTTAAAAATAAAAAACAAAAAAAAACATAGAAAAAAAGAACTAAATAAATATATTTTAAAAATAAAGCTAAAAAATGGTCCCGAATAACCCCTGATCTTTTTAGCAATAATTTCTTTAACTATTTATATAAACAAAAATAGAGGAAGGCAATTTCTATTGCAAGAAAATGCTTTATTTACAAGCAAAGATCACTCAAAACAAAAATAAAAGGGAAAATATTTTTACTATGTTCCATATAATTCATTGTAACTTTCCACGCCATTAAGCGCACATAAATAACCAAATTCACATCTAAAAATATAAGAAAAAGCAACAGAAGCTGCAAGATGACACCTTTAACCAGAAGCAGCTAAAATTACCAATCCTTAACAAAGATGCTAAACTATTATTCTATATATATATAT